TTAGAATAAACACCTCTAGATGCTCTAAGGTGTCAATGCAGCTCCCTAAATTAAACAAGGGTAAGTCAACCTTTTCACCATCTCACATGGTTACTAGAAGTAGGGCTAAGTTAATATCTGCAGGAAGGAAAGAACACCCCATTAAGGGAGTAGACACATCTGAGGATGAGTTTACCGTGGAGGGCATTCGCTCTGCTTTCAAGGAAAGCTGCCCAACAATCAAAGAGAGGAAAATTCAACTTAAAGCTCCCCCTTTGGAACCACATACAAAGCTTAGCAAAAAACAGAAAAGGAAGGCTAAGCTAAAACTCAAACAAGCCCAAGCTATGGAGATGACAAAATTAGCACTTGATGCTAAATACACATTGGATAAGACTGATTTTGAGGATGAATATGGTTTCTCAAATTAATTGTTGCTCTTGTATATGTTTTTTTATATCTATTTTGGTCCATTAGGGGCATGAACTTAGCTATTATAGCTTTTCGTTTTTCTTTTTAGCTTTGGTGGGCTTGTTGGGGATTTAGCCCCCCCCCTCCTATTGTACTATTTTCTTTATCTAATAAAATCTTCTTTCTTAATATATATATATATATATATATATATATATATATATATATATATATATATATATATATATATATATATATATAAAGGGTCGGCCCGTCCGGCCCGCCCAGCTCGCCCTTTAAAATGGGCGGATATGGACAATCTTTAATACCCACATGGGCGGGCCGGCCCAAGCCCAAATTGTATTTGGGCGGATCTCGAAGTTACTTTTAGCACATCCGGGCCAACAGGCCCGCCCATATTCATTAAATACATTTACTTTATTACTACCTCCGTCCCGCTATATTCGTCCACTTTTGACTTTTGGAACTGTTCATCTAAGCACTTTGACTCATCAAATTCTCTCAATGTGTAAGCCTAAATATAGTCATGTGTGATCTTGTTTGATTTGTCTTAACATATAGATTATTAATATATAATTTCTAAAATTTTTTAATATACAAATTACAAGATAAAATGGATTAAAGAAGTGCATTGGATGGTGTGTAAAAATGAAAGTGGACAAATACTCTGGGACGGAGGGAGTATTATTTACCTAGACAATATAAATTTTAAAATTTTCTTTAATTCATGTATAATAGTTCATATCACTCACCTCTCTTAAACAAAAATCAATAGTCTTTTAATGAATCTGTATGATGGGTTTATTAATTATGTAACAATATTTCTATTATGTTTTCTATGTAAATGTGGCGAGTGATAATTTTATTTTAAACATTTGAAAACGAGTTCAATATTTTCTTTTTGATGTCCTTGTGTAAAAAAGATTTTCTTGATTTTTTATCCGGGCCGGGTAGCCCGGTGGGCAGTTCGGCCCGCTAAGGTGGGCGGGTATGGATAAAGAGTTTAGCCCATAAAATCCGGGCCGGGCCAAGCCCACCCATGCAAATGGGCTAATAATTTGTATCAAGCCCGGCCCGGATCCTTATTTGCACAGGTCTTATATATATATATATATATATATATATATATATATATATATATATATATATATATATATATATATATATATATATATTATTAAAGGAGATATTTTATTAAATGCAAAGTAAAGGAAAGTACAAAGAAGGGAGGACTAAGCCAATGCCCCTCTAAAATTGCGAGAAAGGAAAAACGATTGTAAAAGGGAAATTGAAAGAAATCAAAATGAAAAAAGATCATTCCCAGATTATAAAACCGGGGTGTTGATCGAGGGAGAGATTTCTGGGCATTATTTTCTTCGGTCTTTTCCCGTCAGTGCCAATTGGACCAACAGGCCCAACGTACCAAAAGGGGCCAGAATAACTTTTGGTAGTAACTATTTTCTCCAAAGTAGTGGATTTGCGACTGGGCCAGTATCTCGTGATCTCGCTCATAGTCCCGACTTCGAGATTAGGATCATAGCTTTTGGTTTTGATGGTCCTTGGCATAGCTTGCTTCTTTTTACCTCTTATATTCTGGACTTCTCGGAATTCATGAGTTGTGAGGTTTTCTTCATTGTGGTTTGACGTTTGTCCTTCCTCAATGTAGGACCTAATTTCATAATGTTGACCTTCAAGCTCAAAGGAGTGGAGGATTTGTCCTATGCTGCCATCTGAATTATTTGGGATTGTTTCCTTTGTTGTATCTTCAGCAATCAGAGTTAGAATCCCAGTTGTGTCATCCTTCTCTATCTCGGTTGGAGTGCGTACAGCCGCCTCTACATTCTCGGTTCGAGTGTGTACATCCTCCTCGATATTTTGCCTTGTGAGTACTGGAAATTCTTCCAGCTTGATTGTATTTCCTACACAGTTAACATTTTGTGCAATCATATCATCCATGCTTTCCTCATTTGATTGTTCTTGTGTATGTTCTAGATCTGCTTCCGTAGTCAGATTTTCCATTTCAGCTTCTAATTGCTCATCTAGTTCATCTAAAACAGCAGCATCAGTGGGCACACACACTTCATCATGATTAGCAAACGCTCCAGTGTTGGTATCAAACATTTCTTCATGCTGATTTTTTCCAGATGCAGCACCAGAATTTTTTTCCAGATGTAGCACGTCATTGTGGCTATAAGTTTGAACATCACTTTGAACATTTAGAGCTTGAGTTTTGGGATTTTCCTCTTTACAAAAGGTAGTGAGGTTAATCTCTGTAGCTTCTAGAGGTGCAAGTTCATCTCCCATAGGCTCTGGGGAAAAATCTGGGACAGCATGGTCTACCTCTAACTTCGTTTGACCTGCAGTGTTTGGCATCGTATCACAAGAAGGTTTACTGTCATGTTTGGGACCCAATTCACATGGGTTATTGGGAAGGGGCTCTAGCATCACAACAGCACTTTTGGACAGATTATCCTTGGACACTTCATTCTTGGAAATGGGGCTCCAGATTTTTGGGAGGTTATTCTTGGACACTTCGTTCTTGGGAATGTCCATAGTTGAGCATTTTCCGGCTAAATGGCCGGATTTTTTACACTGAATGCAGAATTGTGGTAGGTTTTCGTAGGTCACCGGTTGGAAGAATCCCAGCCCGCCATTATCAATCCATATTTTCTTTGGGAGATCTTTAGAGATATCAATCTCGACGCAGAATCTGGCCATTGAGGGTCTAGTTTTTGCTGATGTAGATGCATCCATCATCAGCAGGTGACCGATGGAGCTCGCAATGGAGTGCAATGCCTTAGCTTCTTGAAGATGGATGGGCAGATGGGTTAGAGACACCCAAACCGGAAAAACAGGGCTCTCAGTGTCAGCATGGAAGGAAGGGGTCCATTTGGACACCACCATATGGCTTCCATTGATATTCCACAACCTTCTTGAGAAGCAACGTTGATAATCAATTGGGCAATCAAAATTTATAAGAATAAGGGACGGGGATAATAATCCAACCGTGAAGCCTGGTTTGAATCCTATCTTCTCGAAGCTTTTACGGATAACCTCTAGAGGAGGTCTTGATTTCAAGAAACGACCCACAAGTGCGAATTGGTATGGGATTGAAAGGGAAATTACCTCATCTGGGGTGAAGGAGACAGCAGGGAATCCTTTGTATCTTCCGATTCTATTCTGGGCATCGCTTGGTTGAGATCCCAGGATGTCTGTGAAGCTTTTTTTGACTGTTGGGCGTTGGCGATGTGGACCTCCAGCTCCAAGTGAGAGAGATCCGAGGGTATCAGCGTAGCTTTTGGCACCTAGGCGTAGGAGACCGGGAGCTTGGGAAGCCATTGGGACCGGAACGGAGCTTCGTTATACGGCGGAGAAGCCATTGTTGTTTGCTGAGAGTTGTTTAGTGAGAGAAGCCATCTCATATATATATTTTTTTAACCCGGTGGAAACCATCAAACTCGATGGGGTAAGGACCAGGAAACCATCTCCCACTAGTCTTCAAGAAGCCATCTCATATATATATATATATATATATATATATATATATATATATATACATACATACACACACACATACATACATATATACATACATACATACATATATATATATATATATATATATATATATATATATATATATATATATATATATATATATATATATATATAGGGAAGCTAGAAAAGAGAAAAGTTATATATATATATATAACCCATAAGAATCAAAAGTTATCTTTTACAAAGTTGACTATTACTCTTAGCTCAGCTTAGACATATATAAAATATATCCTTTTAGAATGAATCAAGTCCATATCTCATGGTACTCTTATGGAACGATTTCCATGCGGTCCTTCTGCAGAGTGAGTCTCCAAAAAGGCTTTAGCTTGAGATTCATTCAAGTTTCAAAAACTTCCATGTATGTACTGGTCTTAGATTATTCCTAGTTCTTTGATCCATCTATATGGATTCTTTAGACTTGAGCACATAACTACTATTTGCAATCATGACTAATAAGTTTTTAATTTATTTTGTCAATGATATGCAACACACTTATTGTGCTCCCACTAGTCTTCAATAAGACTTTTATCCTAGACATATAAGTGCTATAACTGGTTATAGATAATTCGAAACCCTTCTCTTATATATATACCAAGGCTACAAAGTGCTAATATTAATCAGTTAATAAGTTTGTCAAGCAAATACAACAACTATACCAAGGCTACAAAGTGCAAATATTAATCAGTTAATAAGTTTGTCACAAAATTATGAATAAAGTGATAACCACTTAGAGATATGAGGATATCTTTATAAAGGTTATAGCCAAGTACCCTTTCTATTTAAATTTTCGAAATTTAAACTTGCCATTAGCATTAATAAAGCACACTTAATAAAGATCAAGTGATATTAATGCCAAAGTTACATAATAGGAAAGACAAAAGTGATACGATCATGAAATTGACGTTCCCTCAAACGTTATCTAGATAACGTGACTAAAATAGTTAGTCTAATAAAGAGGATTATGTAACCTTGCCAAATACTACTGAACCTTAAGCACTAAAATGATCATTGTAGACTCACGAGTCTATCAAGGATAAGAGAAGGGTTTCGAATTATCTATAACCAGTTATAGCACTTATATGTCTAGGATAAAAGTCTTATTGAAGACTAGTGGGAGCACAATAAGTGTGTTGCATATCATTGACAAAATAAATTAAAAACTTATTAGTCATGATTGAAATAGTAATTATGTGCTCAAGTCTAAAGAATCCATATAGATGGATCAAAGAACTAGGAATAATCTAAGACCAGTACATACATGGAAGTTTTTGAAACTTGCATGAATCTCAAGCTAAAGCCTTTTTGGAGACTCACTCTGCAGAAGGACCGCATGGAAATCGTTCCATAAGAGTACCATGAGATATGGACTTGATTCATTCTAAAAGGATATATTTTATATATGTCTAAGCTGAGCTAAGAGTAGTAGTCAACTTTGTAAAAGTTAACTTTTGATTCTTAAGAAGAGACAAAAGAGTATGGTTTTCTAAAATGGCTTAAGTGTGAATGTTACACACAAAATAGCTCGTTTAGAACAACCATCAGGTAGGTTGAAATTAACAAAACATATATTGACACGTATTGACATGGTGTCATACGCATATAAGTAAGAT